CCCCATAGGCATCTCGAGGACCTGCCAATGAGGTAGTGCTAGAAGCCAAGCTGCTGAGAGCTCTGGACTGCTCAGGATGGGCTTCTGCCTCTCCCAGAAATCTCACGCTCTCAGATACCACACCAAAGCAAGCCCAGCACACCATGTCATACAGTCTCAGCTAAAGATCAGGGCCTCAGGCATCCAGTTACTCAGAAACAGCCAGCTCCCTGGGGCCTGGGGACAGCCAAAACTTGCCTCTAAGTGGCAATAACCATTCACTGTCCTGATCACCACAATATTCCTCCCAGAACTTGCCTCTTCACTTAGTAAATACAGGCTATATAGCACCACTGGGCTTCTATATTGGGTACCTATCTGTACCTAATCTCTTCTGCAGCCTCATGATGGATAATAAGGGAGACAACCTAATCCTGCTGCGAGTGCGTGCCACTGAAGTGCCAGGCAATGGGACAAGTAGAGGTCCCTACATCCACAAAAGATGGTAATGGATGGCAGAATCCACTAAGGCAGGCTCCATGAACTCAGTGTCTCACCTCTTGATGGTCTGGGTGATTGAGGTCTGTCGTTGTAGCACCGGTCTCCTCACTTCGTTAGGCAGGGAGGGCACGCGGGTGTTGTCGGCGGGCATGCTCACGCTGCGCAGAAAGGCCTGACGTCTCGTTGGCTGCAAAGAAAAGCAGGAGGGGAGTCAGTGTTCTGAGTGATGCTCTACAGGGCCAGTCAGGTTGTGAAACATTTAGTTAGCAATTCAACAGCCACCCAACACCCTAACCACCAGCTGGGTGCAAGCATTTGGGCAGCAAAATCAGGCTGACAAGGACTGTGTTCACAGAATCACAGGATGTCAGGGATTGGAAGGGACCTCGAAAGATCATCCAGTCCAATCCCCCTGCCAGAGCAGGAACCTCAATGAGATCACAATTCCTGTGTTCATGCCAGCCAGGAACGGCTCTGCAGAACAGAACACAACAGAACAGTCATCATCAAGGACACAGCGTCTGTGTTGCGGTGGGTCTCGGTTCACACTGGCTCTAACCTGGCCCATGGACTGATGTCCATTTCTAGATGGGGTCTATTACATGAGCTCCTCAAACAGATCCTCCTGGCATTTTTCTAGCCAGAAGGAACCCAGATCACACACTCCCAGACCACTCCACAAGGTGAAGAGAAGCAGAGTAAGTGAGATTTGCTTCATAAGTGACTCTGGATCTGCATTAAAAGCCTGTGAGGGCTGTGAGTGGGACTGTGCTGTAGCTGCTGCCTGGTGCAGGCTAAGCAAGCTGGGAAAGCCACATCAGCTTTGTTCATAACCTAATTGTCTGGATACACTCAGGTCCAAAAGCTCCTGGCATGTCTTGGCTGAATTTCAGCTACCAAATATGACACAACTCACCTGACCGTTCTCAGCTCATACAACTGCTGCCCCAGGGCTGCTCTGGATTAATTTTTCATTAGCTTGGCAGAGACACCATCTCTCATTTGTAAAATGCAGGCTGAGCAGACTGTCCCCCTGGCAAGTGAAGCTCTGATCAACTGTTCCTCTGGTCAGACACTGCCTCTTCCTTAAGACTACTTGCTACTCCAGTCCCTCTAGACCATAAAGCTAGTAATTTGCACTAATCTTAACATTTTTGTTATGTTTTATGTAAAATCAATGCATAAATACACAGGTTATAAACCAAAGGAGACCATTATGCACTCCTAACCTGACAGCCTGTGCTGTGCACACCCAACCTCCAGGGAACATCACCTCTGCCAGCTTCCATCATAAGTACAGAGTGTCTCTCCAGAAGGTGTCCAGCTGTATTTAGATATTTCAGGTAAGAGAACATCTATCAAAGCCTTAAATATGTGATTCAGAAGGTTTTAACCTGCACTGTTACAACCCTGCATTCCACTTCTAATCCCTGCAGACCAAACCCCAATCACTTTCCTTACAAGGGAAGACCAGGACCAAGATTTATCTGTCAGAAGCTGTCACATAACTGAAGTGCATTAAATCAAGGAATGGTGAAGAGGCCAGTCCTTGTTATTGCAAGCACGACATAAGTTCCCTCTTAAAACAAGCCTGTCCTCAGCCCCCCTCCAGGGAAGCTGTATAACCCCCCGTTTCTCTGATGGCTAAAAACTGTTCTTCCACATAAGCAGCTGAACCCAGGCACCGCACCCCACCCATGGAGCTGGGCAGAAAGGACCCCCTGGCTCTGCCTTTGGTGCACAAAGTCTCTACTCCTGCAGGAAGGTCACACAAGCAGCCAACAATCATCCTACCCAGGTCTCACCTGTACAAGACAATTGTAGCAGAAATTCCTGTTACTATTCCTATTCCCAGCACAAATACGGATGTTTTACTCTCTTATGTTGCACAGTTCCTATTACCCTATCACCCCATCTCTACTTCACTCTTTAACGTCACTTATTTCCCACCCCACGTGATTTTTTTATGTTCCTCATGCTGGTAACACCTTTGTGTTGCCAGTAACTGTTCTTTCTCTGCTGTTCCGGATGAGAGGCTGATATTATCCTGGCTGTTCATGTCAGATTCA